GGTGTGTGTGTGTGTGGCCAGCTCAGCCCACCAGGGGGCAGGGCTGGCCGGCATGTGGTGCTGGGGGATTGAACCGTGATCCCTGATGCCTTGCCAAGCTTGTTCTAAGTAGGTGCTTTAGACCACTGAGCCATCTCTCCAGCCCCCTAGGAGATCACTTTCTGAACAACTTTTTTTTTTTTTTTTTTTTTCCCGTGGAACCAGGGATTGAACTCAGCCCCTTGCGCTTGCCAGGGAAGTGCTTATTCTACTGAGCCATCTCCTCAGCCCCTTGAACAACTTTTAAAAGGCATAAACAAAAATTATTTCTTGTTCCTTGCCTACTAATAAAGTGGAAATTGGGCCATTAATACATAACAAATTACTACTCAAATATCCATCTTCTAAAGGGTCAATTTAAGTCTTCTGTCCTCCCAGCTTAAGTACACATTATCACATATCTCTTTAGGAGATAATTTACATTGCCTGGATCTGCCGCTGTGCTTCTAATTGAACTGTTTCATTAATACACCACAAAGTAATTGCATCCTGCAATGAAATCAACTATGTACTGCACAGGACTTGAGGAAAGTATGCTACACTGAATTCTGCAGCAGGTCAATTTCTTTTTTTGTAAAAAGAAAGGTTACATTTACATTTAAATTGTCAATGTGTACTTTATTCACCTTTAAAAAATTATTCAATCTGATCCAAAGTATACTTTGAAAATATACCTGAAAAACTTGAATCAGGTTGAATTTTTTTAAGGAATAAAAACTGCTATTATAACAAAAGGTATGCTATCAAGTTAAAAATGCAGTTTAGGAGACAGAAGAAGATACTTAGAATGGTTCATTAATGGTTTATTTTTGACAGTCACAGGAATAGAGCATACATGTTCAAATGCCATGGGGTAAGACAAAAATCATGTGTCTACTTATCTCTAAGTTAGCAGGCCAAATGAATCAAGAAGTTTTGTTTTAGGTGATTTCTTTGATTGATTTGTTATTCTGTGCAAAAAAAAGCCAATGTAACTATATCTATTACAAAATAATGACTGCTGTCTGCCCCACTTATAAAAGGAAGGAAATTAAATGCAAATGGCAATGTTGAGACTCATCATGACAGTGCCAAGGAAAGGGAGTACAGGAGTAACTCCCTCTGTGCCCAAAGAAATGGAAAAAGGAGCCACCAACAATCCCTATTGTAATGTAAAAGTGAATTTAAAATCATCTCAGACCCAAGATGGAATAAAATCTCTAGGAACATAAAACATGGTCAAACTCCATTACAACATATTCAACAAAAACTGTATTAGCAATTCATATACTGAAGGTTACTTTGGTAGAGAACCGTCTTCTGAAGTTGGCCATAAAGCTAATCATTTTCCATTGTAATGGGCTTTGGCCTAAAGGACATATGCAGGAAAAGGAAGTTGCATGCTTAGCTAGCATAAAACAATCTTGAGCAACAGTAAAAAGCATTCCATGCCTGCACCATCACTTTAGAGCAAGAACAAAAGGATGACAGTAAGGAAGCCTCTTTATCAAGAGAAACACGTTTCCAACATGCAACAGGTTAATCAGGCAGTCAACACAAGCTTCTATCCCTGAGAAATTCCAAAATGTACAAGAAATCTGGGATGATTTCTTATGCATCCTTGAAATTCCAAGTGGGATGCTAAACACTGGATTAACAACAAACTGGGATACTATGGAGGTCTGAAGGCCCCTTTGATGTGTGTAAGAAGATAATGATTTTCTTCATTGCTGTGGGTGTGGCTTAACAGGAACACAAAATAACTCACCTGCAACAAAACATCCTTTAAACAAAACAACACAACTGCACACTTTCCAGTGAAATAAATAAAACAAACTCAAAGCAAGGCAAGCCAGTATGGACATTTGGCAACATCTGTTAATGGGACACACACAGCAAGCTGTTGCTCTTTACGTTAGCCACCACAACCATAGCAGGTCCCACAGCTAGCAATTAAAAAACATTGATCAATTACCAATTACAGAAGTAGATCAATACTATGCATCAGAAGTAAGCCTCTCTTTATCAGATGGCTGAGCATGGATCTCAGCCTTGTGATATGTGGCATCATAATGATTTTTCTTATTTCTCTTGAAGAAACCACACTACAAGGAAGCAAGGTATTTGGTCAATTTTACAGTTTTGTGGATAAGGGCTAAACAATAGAACATCTCAGATCTCAACCTGTTTTCTATTACAGCTCGTTTACAAAGAGACCACTTTTGATCAAACAGAAATGAGCAGCTAACTCATTACATAACACCGTGATAGCCAGGATTCAACACATCCTATCGCCATGGTCTCTGGTCAGACATTTGTAAGGATGACACTGATCAGCTGATTGACTTTCCTACTTGCAGCAGAAATCCCAAGGACATAAACCAACCTAAAAATGGAAAACACATGCACATCGGATTGTAGCTTTGGCTGGTCTCCTTGAAGAATATAAGCTCCAGAAAGGTAAAATATGGACTTCTACATGTTGCTAAGATAAAGGTTAGAACATTCTCTTAAGTAAAACTTACCATAAATCCTAATAAAATATGGATAGGCCGTATTTTTCTACGTTCTACAGTAAATTTAATGAAACAAATGCCATCTACTTGAGACCTTTGGATCTGTAGGGCAGGTAAATCACAGTACAGATTCGAGTGCACTGTCATGAAAGAATGATTGCTCTCATTTTTCCAAATTTAGTACTACCAGGTAACTCTTTTGAATTGTAGGAACCCATCTTCCTAAGGTTAGGACACTCTAAATAAGTACAAAAGTATAATTCGACTTCTATGATTTCCTTCATTCAACAGTAAAGGCTTTTTCTATTTACTTTTACCTAAATCATAAGACCATGGAATTCCCTTTTAAATAACCTGGTCAAATAAAATCTCCCCTAGAAAATTGTGCTTCCCAACGTGGCAATCATGAAGGCAGAAACCTAGATTCACTTTGTATAGTATGGCAGCTACTAGCTACATATAATTATTCAAATTTATTTATTTATTTTATTTTTTGGGCAGAACCAGGGATTGAACTTAGGCCCTTGAGCTTGCCAGGCAAGTCCTTATTCTACTGAGCTATCTCCCCGGCCCAGTATTCAAATTTAATTGAAGCTAAAATGTAAGTTCTGTAACTCCACTGCACTACCTATATTCCACGTATTTAACAGCCACATGTAATGACTGGCCACCATTCGGGTTACTGCTGCTCCTTTTTTTTTTGCAGAACCAGGGATTGAACTTAGGCCCTTGAGCTTGCCAGGGAAGTGCTTATTCCACTGAGCCATCTCCCCAGCCCCAATGCTCCTGAACATTTTCATCATGGCAGAAAGTTTTACTGAGCAGCGCTGACAGCAAACACACTAGCTTTCTGTAATAAGTGCTAATAAATAGAATAAGGAGGAGGAATAAGGAACTATTCATCCTGGTTTTGCTTCCAGCTTGGCAACTTCTTCAATATTTGAGGGCATGAATATCTTCATCAGTAAAACAAAGGTGATTGGATTAATGCAAAGAACGGTCCTATTTTATCCCAGAAACAAATAAACAAAAAACAATAGAAATCCTTTTCAAAAGCCAATATTTAAAGTAGATACTATCAGAACTTCTCTAGTTAAGTTGGAGATCTCTATCTTGGTTTCGTTTTGCCACCTATGAGGCTTTACAAAATCCAGTTTAAAGGCCACTGAATAGAAGAATAACAATACCATCCCCCTCCTCCGTGCTTGGGATTGAATCCAGAGCCCCATGCTAGGCAAATGTCATATTGCTAACCCCTAAAATCCTTTCTGACCCTAAAATTCCAAGACAATGCAGTTTTACAGATGAGAGTATAAAATACAAAAATGTCTTATGTGGGGGTATAGAAGTTATTGATTTATTTTAGGTCCCCTTGTGATATCCCCCTGGATATTTACAGCTTCCAAAATTCAGTGAAGGCATCTAGTCCAACCCAGTTATTAAACAGCTAAAGCAAACCACAGCCCCAGGAAGGTGAAATGATTTGCACAAGATTATACACAGCTTGGGTTTCTTAACTCTCAACCTATGGTGCTATGTCTCAATGAGGATTTAAGATGCCAAGAAAATCTATTCTGAAGATTTCCTTGTGACCTCTTCCAGAGAACAAAGACCATTCTAAATACCAAACACCACATTTAGGATTTTTTTTTTTTTGATGGTAATGAGCATTGAACCTAGGCTCCTGCGCATGCTAGGCAAGAACTCTACCACTGGGCCATATCCTTAGCCCTCCACATTTAGTTTTTGATATCCAAATAATTATCAGGGAATTTGTATACTGACTACTTGGCTTGCCAGAGAAGTCTACTGCCGAGCTAAATTAAACCTCGTGAGTAACATTAGGCTGACACATGCCAGGAGGTTTTTTTTTTTTTTTTTTTTTTTGTTTTTTTAAGTAGAGCACAATGCTCCCAGTTTTCTTAAATTCTTTTTCTTTTTTTAAAAAAAATGTATTTGGTATAGGGTCTACAGGGTCTCACTACATAGATCAGACTCGTAGTTTACAGGAGAAGTCTTCTTATAAGCCGAGATACCAGGCTTCAATCACATATTTGGTGGATACCAGAAAATTACCTCAGACCAGCAAAAGGAAGTTACTTGGAAGACAGAAAATAACTGATGACAAATTGCCCATTTATTTGAAAGTAATAAGATCTGTGAAGTCTGGTCCATTATGCTCTTGGATCCAAAGACAGGAAAAAGATGGTTTGATCCTACAGGGTTGTTAATTCAGCCAAAAATCTCTAGACCAGATGCTTGGGAGCCCCAAATTTTTAAAAACTTCAAAAAATACTATGCTGCACACATAATGCCACCATTTTAAAAGTGTTAATAGTTTTGCAGTGAAATAACAAGTAAACTCCAGCTCTTGGGAGGCTGTAAACAGGCAGATCACTATGAGTCCGACCTAGTAGTGAGACCCTGAACACCCTGTAGACCCTTCCCTAAAATACAAAAAAAAAAAAAAAAAAAAAAGAGTAAAGGACAAAGACTATCAATATCTTCCCTTCACATCATGTCAGGTCTTGCCACCAAATAGGTCATTATAAAGTTTGTTTTCAGAACTTTTTTGACCTGATATTGTAGGTAGAGTATTACAAACCTTCCTTATTCACTTAGAATATTATGAAATCTATAGTTCATAATCTTGGCAAATAATATTTGTACATATTTCACATGTACTTTTTCCATAAAGTAGACTATCTATGAGTAGTAAATGGAGAAGATATATTTTATGTATATATGCCTCAAATTCTTATGAAGCACCTACTGTGTACAGAACTCATTCATTTAAAAAAATTATTTTAGGGAAGGGTCTACAGAGTGTTCAGGGTCTCACTACTAGGTCGGACTCATAGTGATCTGCCTGTTTACAGACTCCCAAGTGCTGGAATTACAGGTGCACGCCACCACGCCCAGTCTCAACTGCCATCTCAGCCCGCCCTGGGGGGTGGGGCTGTAATGGCA